CGGTTGATTATCGGGAGCATTCCAATCATAGGTTGTGGGCCTAGTGATCATGATGGTTCATTTCTTCTGCTTGTAGTGCTTTCGGTGTGGATGCGTTGATGGGGGGTTGGGCAAGTTGTAAATCTGTTGGTTGGATAATGGAAGTAGTAAGGATTGAGGGAAGTATCAGTCAGGTATCAGAAAGTCTCGGCAGGTTGTATGCAATATAAATCCAGCTGTTCGCAAGCTGTTGTTAGATTGGTGATTCTCAAGTTGGAAATTTCTTACGCAGTCGTAAGTCATGAAAGTTATTGGTGATTGTATCGAGTGGATGCTCAGGTGGGAGTGCACCGGAGCCGATAAGGGTTGGATGTATCGCAGAAGTTCATGGTTTGATCATCGTTGCTCGATGAAGCAGTGGTTGGTAATGGCATAACAAGGAGTCAAGGGTTGTTAAGATTTTGGGTTCATTATATGGTTCAGTTTTGGGTTAAGTTCGCGGTCGGTGTGTTTCGAGAATCATTCTTCATGGTTCTGGTAATTCCCCAGTTAGGGACTGGGGGTAGATTTAAATGGATATTCATCGGTTTTAGGGAAGGTTTCTTGAGGAGGTATCATGGGTAGCCATTTTCGGGCAGGCTCTTGGTGGGAACTCGTGTTGGGAATCGCGAGTGGGCCCGTGTAAGGTCCGTATCCAGAGCGGATGGGGTTAAGAAATTTGTATATCAAAGGCATTAGTTAAAGGATTCAGAGTCTAGCTTATGTGTCTGTGCTCTAGGGTGGCTCCATCTTGTGAATGAAGGGCAAGTGATGAGGTTTCGGGCTCTTAGTAGCAATGTATCGGCCCGACAGTCGAGGAAGTCTGCATTTTGTATCTCTTGTGTGTTTATGGAATTGTTATCATCAAAGGTTGGATACACTACTCGATGGATAAGTGTTATGGTTTTAGCAATCGGTTCAGTTTGGGAGGTCTGTCAGGGAGTCAGACCAATTCGATACCCAAGTTCGGATATATAAGGTTGGGTATTTGTATGGTATTATGGGTTGTTCTTCTTCTGGTGGGCAGTTTCTTTTTGGGTTTGACTATTTTGGGAAGGTCTTTTTATATACATAATTTTTGGGTGCATTCAAGTGTTGTTTTGTTATGAGTGTTAGTAAGGAGCGATTTCGAGGAATAAATCTAATTTAAGTGGGTGAGAGTTGTAACATCCGAAATCTTGAAGAGAAATTGTTGAGAATAACCCTATTTCTAGTTGGAGGGACCAACTCGTCGTGTTGAAGATGGATGGATCGCGAGGATTTAATGAACCAACTCGACGAGTTGGGGAGCATCAACTCGACGAGTTGGCAGCTGGGTAGGAAACCCTAATTTTTTAGGGTCTTGCACCCTATTTAAAGTCCTTAAGTCCTTTTTCTAGCCTCTTTATCAGCCTCCATTGTTGTCCAAACCCTAAAACGAGTTGTAGCCTCCATTGTCAAGTTCTTGGAGCCTTCGAAGGAAGTTTGGTGTTCATTTTGTGTATTGTGAAGGAATTAGAAATCTTGAAGTTTCTAGCTTGGAGAAGGAAGTCTTGGATCCAGAATCACTCCATTTCTTGCAGTCATTTTAAGGTATCAAGTTCATACCTTGACTTATAAATGATTAGATCTCCTTATTTTGGGTTTTGTTGTGTTTTGGCCTCTTTTTGGGGATGATGATGGAGTAAAGTCATTTTAGGGGTTGTTCTTTCAAATCTGAGTTGGTTTTGGTACCCTTGAGCTTAAAGGTGCAAACTTTATGAGAATTTTGGTGTGATACATGCATTAAGTCAATTATTAAGTCCATTCCAAGCTTAAGAGCTTCATTTAGACATGCATGAACGTAAACTTGGCAACTTTACGTGGTTTTCCAGCTCAAGGAAGTCAGATCTATGTTTTGGAGTCACGTTCTTATGGATTAAGTGCTTAATGTATTAAGAGGTGGGTTTCTGGCGAACTCGGCGAGTTTGTTGGATAAACTCGACGAGTTGGCTCAGTTTTACCCGATATTATCAGATTGATAGAGGAACTCGCCGAGTTTGTTGGTCAACTCGGCGAGTTGACTTGGTTTTTCCGGAATCTGTGCAGTTGATGGAGAAATTCGACGAGTTGAAGGACAACTCGGCGAGTTGGGTCAACTTGGACCGTTGACTTCGATTTTTGATTTATGTCCTTGAACGAGTTTGTCCCAAGGGGTGCTTGAGGTAATTTGAATTATGATAAGGAAAATTATGGGCTTAGGATAAGGCCCATATGGGGTTGGGCCCAATTTGGAAAATTGGGCCATTAGTGGGCCTTTGTGGATCTTTTGGTTTTGGGCCTCAGTTTTAGGTCGTGTTGGGTCAGGGGTAAAATGGTCATTTTCCCCCAAGTAAGGATTTTGGATTATAGTCTAGAACCCAATTGCTAATTGGGTGTATTGTTGGTATTGATAGCTCGGGAAGCCGGCAGGGAAGCAGCTAGGAATTTCTTTCGGGGAGCTTCTTCGAGGTGAGTTTTCTTCACTGTACTTTTGGGTCGAAGGCACCAAGGCCGGACCATTGGATTAGATATCCTGTTATGCGATAGTATGTTATTGTTCAGTAATGATCTGTTAGATCGGTATCCTGGTTTATTGGATGATGCTATGAGTAGTGAGCTGTAGATCTGCCTGTTTGTCTATAGACTGTTTATATGTCTATCTGTTATATGTCGGCATGTTGTGTTGGGTTGAGGTTATACTGCTCCGTGATGTAGCCAACAAACCCAGGAGCATTCCTGATACGAGCTGAGGACCGGGCGGTATGCCAGACTCGTACTGAGGGCTTGAGGGTATTCCATCCTGAGGATGACTGGAGTCGTTGTGTATTGGCATTCCAACCCGAGGGTTGATTGGGGACTGGGTTATTCCAACCCGATGGTTGATTGGACCCGATATGATAGTATGGATTGTGGTGAGACTGGAGTTGTTTGTGCGTTAGTTAACAGGCCTTGGGTATTCCAACCCGATGATTGAATGGACCCGACATGTTTGGTATTCCAACCTGATGGTTGATTGGACCAAACTGCTTATGATACGAGAGAATTCCATCCCTAGGATGACTAGGCCCATCGTAGACATGCCTGGTGTTCCAGCCCAAGGCTGATTGGGCCAGGCATGAGTATTTGAGCATGTTGTTATTCGTATATGTTATATGTTTGGGTGTTGGTACTTTGGGGGAACTCACTAAGCTTCGTACTTACAGTTTTGGTTTATGGTTTAAGGTACTTTAGTGGATCGTGGCAAGGTGAAGGCGTGACCGTACACATCCTCGCGTTTTGGACTTTTGATTTCTAGGAAACTCTGATACTATGAATGTTATGAAAACTATATTGAAAGAGATTCTGATCTTAAATAATGTTTTGGGAATAACGGTTTTGTAAACACTTCTATATAAAAAGGGTTGTTTTGAAAAGTTTAAATTTTATGAAATTTTATGGATGTTTCACTAACAGAGTGTGTGTGTGTGTGTGTTTAACTGTGTAAGTATGTATATGTTTACAAGTCCTAAAATGTGTGTTTAACTGTATGTGTTTATAGATCGTGAAATGTTTGTGTTTAGTAAAGTTTTGATTTTTATGGATTTCATTAGACATGTGTAACCCCTATTGTTCCATTCATGTATCTGGTCACCTATATATTATCACATATTTTTATTTGAAGGCATTTGTAGCCTTTTTTTCAGGTGCCTCTTAAAATCGGGAATCATGGAGGCAAGTGATGATTAGAGTCTACAAAGCATCAAATTTTTTAGATTAAACATCTTTTAGGAAATTTATTCTTTATGTTATTAGAATCCCAATTACTTTTATTACATTTCTATTTTGACTCTTTGATTTGGTTTGAGACAAGCAAGGGGAAGGGTGAGATGGGATGGGGGTGATGGGTGCAATTGAATATTAATAAAACCATTCCAGCAGCCAACTATTTGGGTTGAAAATGTTAGTGTCAATGTAAGTTTTAATTTTGTAATGTTCAGTTTAATAATACGACAGATACATTATTTGTTTGTGTGTGTCTAAAATATTTTTTTTTATTTGTTTATTGGGTAAATAGCATAAAAAACACTCCGTTTACACCAAAATTCTAATTTGACACCGTGTTTTTTTTGTCTCAAATTTGACACTGTGTTTTTCAATTTGTTACAATTCTGACCACTTGACCGGTTAACCAGGTTACATGCTGACGTGGCATGATGACATGTCAGTTTTGATCATGTGGCATGCTGACATGATATGCTGAAGTGTCAAAATTGAATTTTTTTTCCACAAAAAACACTAAGTTTTCACTTTTTTTTCGATTTTGACACTAAGTTTAATTTTTTCTTTCAATTTTGACACTATGTTTTTTTATTCCAAATCGAACATCATTTTTTCCAATTTTGTTCAATTTTGACCATTTTCCATTTGAAACCGTATAAATATATTTTTTATTACATTTTAAACCGTATAAATATATTTTTTTTGTTTAAAAACCACATTTTTATTTAAATACAAGGTGTTTCTTTTTTTTTTTACATTCAAAGTATAATGTATAAATATACATTAGTTATATCATGAGAATCAAACTAACCATAAGCTTCTAATAAGATGTGAAAATTTCAGGGGTTGCAAACTTGACATCCGAGTTTTAATCGACTACACGCCTCCAAACCTACAAACTCATTTTAAAGTTGCGTATTTAATATAAAATACGGTTTTTATATAACTAATACATATTTATACATAAAACTATGGTTTAAATGTTAAAAAAAAAAAAAAAAAAAAAAAAAAAAAGCTTGTATTTATACAAAACTATGGTTTTTAATTGAAATGGAAAATTGTCAAAATTGAACAAAATTTGATAAATGATGTTCGATTTGAAACAAAAAAACATAGTGTCAAAATTGAAAGAAAAAATTAAACTTAGTGTCAAAATCGAAAAAAAAATGAAAACTTAGTGTTTTTTGTGGAAAAAAAATTCAATTTTGACACGTCAGCATATCATGTCAGCATGCCACATCATCAAAACTGACACGTCATCATGCCACGTCAGCATGTAACCTGGTTAACCGGTCAAGTGGTCAGAATTGTAACAAATTGGAAAACACAGTGTCAAATTTGAGACAAAAAAAACACGGTGTCAAATTAGAATTTTGGTATAAACAGAGTGTTTTTTATGCTATTTACCCTTGTTTATTATAGCTAAAACTGTTTAATAAATTTTGGTTAGTTTTTGGGAATTAGGAACAAAAAATGGTAAAGATGGTAAGGAATAGAGTTGACATTTAATAAGAAGAAGATCGATGCTAGAAATACATGGTTTTGAGAACTACAGGGTAGGACATTTAACAATTATGTTTATAAATTTATTATTTTTATTTTTATTAAACAATCATACTTAAAAATAAATGTCATTATAACATGTATATATTTTTTTATTTATAAAAATAAAAATATTTTATATTTTGAACTTTATAACTTGAAAATTAGAAAAATAACAAAAATCTACTATTGAAAATCCCGATACATCTTAAAATTTGTCAATCATCAACATTAAAAAGAATAAAAAAAAATCTTCATTTTTCAGGTAAATCGTTTGTGGCAAAAAAATATGAAAAAGTATAATCAAACCAACATGGTTGTTGGATTCCTTAGCCGTTTCAAAGGCTTTTAATCGTCGTTTCAAAACTCTCCATTGCCGTAAAACCGACCAATAACAATATGTATTTGTTATGTTCATTATAATATAATATGTTTTTGAATGAAACTAATTGCTGAAAGAAACTATCATCCGCCGCCGCTTTGCGCAGGTACACAACTAGTGTGTGTATTCAATCGAGAACATTTTTTAGTTTGAGAACAATCGGAGAACAAATTTGAACCACATAATTTTGTTTAATTAAAATCTTAAATAAATCAAAATATAATTAAATACCTTATCACATACCCCACCCCCACCCCCATCCAACACACACTCTCTCTACCGAATACAGCTACACCACAGACACCACCGACCATTACCTTCGTCGGAACCACCTCATCACCGCCTCTTCCCTCCGCCTCTGTGTGTGTGTTCAAGGTAACTACAAACATCCATACTTCCAGAAGCGTTTTGGATAAAAAGATAACATAAATAGAAAATCTCTTTCATCGGTGACGGGAAATCGGACCTGTCGGTGACCGGAAAGCATTGAGAATAACCTCATTGTAAACACATAAGCTCTTCCCCTGTTTTTCCGCAGCTGTGCAATCTTCACACAAGGCACAATTCGACTCAACTTTAGGGTACACATCTTCAATCTTTGGGAAATTCATGTTTAAAGGGTAAGTGAATCCGTATCTCGAATTCAAAATCATATGCATGTAGTTTTCTCTCTGAATCAACAAATCGTTAAACTGTTCATCAGAGTAATAGACTAATAGGAACTCTTATACCCAAACATTTGTGCCTCGTTCATATCAAGCTAATTCTAATGGATACGAGATAGATCATCAAGCGTCAACCAGAAATTCTGGACACACTGTATTGACGATTAGGGAAAAATTCATAACCAATGCAATCAAGGTGAGATCCATTTCATATTTTCACTCTTGGTTTTTTTCACATTACATATTTGAAAACCTACTTTTATATCATATGTGACAGTTGTTGGATGAATCTCTACGTGTTATCTGTGGATTTAAAGGAACATAAGATCTTTCTGATGAAAAATTACCTAACAGTCCTTTTACATCTGATGATAAACTCTTTTTCATACTTCACCCATGGTTAGTTGCTCTTGCTAATAAGATTTTTCCTTTTTTTTTCTGGAAGTTAAGGGTTGCATCAATTACTTGTTTGCAGGAATAACTTCAAGTGTATTATTTTCCCTTCCAGAGGACAAATCGGACCAGATTATCACTTATTCTATAAGATTGTAAAAGATTCTCTTGCTAAAACGGTTCTACTATAGAAGTTAAATTTTCCATTTTCTTTATTACCCTACTAAATATCCAATTCTTTATCAATTTATATCATATGAATAATTTTATAGATCAATGTTGCTCTTGATGATGATGTCCCATTAGTAATATCTACTACTTGTCGTGCCATTAGTGTTATTACATGTTTCCCACAAGCTTTTATGAGTTACCTTTGACTTTATAGTTTTTTAGTTTAAATTGTGTTTTTAAAGAAAAGTTTCTTTATTACCATATTAAATATCCATTTCTTTATCTAGTTTATAAGAGCCTTACAAATGTCTGAATGTAATAGTGTGGAGACCCTTTGCAAGTTTATCAATGATGCTGAAGTCAATAGTAACCATCCATTAAGATAGGTATCATTCTCACATTTTATATTTAAATCATTTTCTTTAATTATATTTGATGCATTTTTATCCTGTTAGCTATATGATTTCACAAGTTCTTGTATTTAGGTTCGCATTCCAGCCTCCTAGGATTAAGCTAATTTATGTGATTCTGTTCGCCACTGTATTGACATATTTACCCCCCTCAAGCTCTTTTGTAGGTGAGTACCAAACTTTCATTTTGACCATTTTACCCTTATGCATTGTTCTGTTTTTATAAATTCACTCATCTTTGAAGTGATAGACTTAACGGATTGCACCAAAAAACTTTCATTTTGACCATTCTACACCTATGTATTGTTCTGTTTTTATAAATTCACTCATCTTTGAAGTGATAGACTTAAAGGATTGCGCCAAAATGGTTTTTCTGTTAATAGATTGTCCTTTACGGCTTACAAGAGATGGTGATATGGTAAAATTGTAACCTGTCAAGATTTATATCATTTTCTATGTTTATTTATGTAATTGTATTTTAAATTTATTTTATTTTATTTTTTATACTTAGATCAAAGCAAATGTTGTAAGAACCCTTGAAAAACTTTCAAGAATTGTTCCATGTTCGATTCAAGATTTTCAGGATTCTATAGAAACTAAAAGATGTCTGGCATCAACTTCATTTTTTGCAACTAATGTGGGGAGATTCATTTTGGTTGGAAAGATCGGTACATACATTTCTTTCTTGTGTGACAACCGGAAACATGAAGGTACCCTTTAAAACCCAAAAAAAGTTACTTTTACGGTTTTACCATTTTCATTTTTTTTTTGAAAAAAGGTATAGTGGAATATCTGTCATGCATTGAGCAACTTATTTCTTAATCACATGTGATTATATACACGATAACAACTATTGAATCAAAAATACGAAAATAAATATAGTCTAATCATATGTGATTAAATACATACAATCACATGTGATTAAATACACGAGAAATAATTATTGAATCGAGAACATGAAAATTAATATAGTATACTAAATCATATATGATTAAATACATCTAATCACATAAATCATATGTGATTAAATACACGAGAACAACTATTGAATCAAAAATGCAAAATAAATCTTATGCTCATAAATCATATGTGATTAAATACATGTAATCACATGTGATTAAATACACGAGAACATTTATTGAATCAAATATACAAAAATAAATATACTCCATATAAATCATATGTGATTAAATACATACAATCATATGTATCTAATTAGATATGATTTTATTTTAGAAAAACGGCTTTTTTCCGTCTAAATCATATGTGATTAGATGCATATAATCATATGTGATTATATACACGAGAACAACTATTGAATCAAAGACATGAAAACAAATCTTGTCCACATAAACCATATGTGATTAAATACATATAATGTATCTAATCACATATGATTTATATAGAAAAGATTCGTTTTCATGTTTTCCATTCTATAATTTTTCTCATGTATTTAATAATATCTGATTATATAATATTTAATCACATATGATTAATGTGGACAAAGTTTTGTTTTTGCATTTTTATATTCAAATTGTTTTTTCGTGTATATAATCACATGTGATTATATGTATCTAATCACATATGATTTAAATAGACAATATTCTTTTTTGTCAATATAAATCATATATGATTAGATACATATAATCACATGTGATAAGATGTATTTAATAACATATGATTAAAGTTGACAAAGAACAATTATTGAATCGATAACACGACAATGAATCTTATTCATATAAATCATATATGATTAGATACATATAGTCACATGTGATTATATGTATTTAATTGTATATGATTTATGTGGACAATATTTGTTTTCGTGTCCTGGATTCAATAGTTGTTCTCATGTATATAATCACATGTGATTACATGTATCTAATCACATATGATTTATATAGACAATATTCTTTTTTGTCTTTATAAATCATATATTATTAGATACATATAATCACATGTGATTAGATTTATTTAATCACATATGATTAAAGTTGACAAATGACAATTACTGAATCTGATAAAGCAATAATGAATTTTTTTCCACATAAACTATATGTGATTGGATACATATAATCACATATGATTATATGTATTTAATCAGATATGATTTATGTGGACAATATTTATTTTCGCGGTTTCGATTCAATAACTGATCTCGTGTATTTATCACATGTGATATAATCATATGTGATTATATATATCCAATCACATATTATTTATATGGAAAAAAAATTCATTATTAAAGGTGGGGGAGGGTGGTGGGGGTGGTGGTGAAGGGTGGTGGTCGTGGTCATGGTTGTGGGTGGTAGGTGATAGAGGTCGTGGGTGGTAGTTGGTTTATTCTAGTTGTGGGTGGTGGTAGTGGTGAAGGGTGGTGGGGTGACAGGTAGTAAGTGGGTCGGTGGTGGTGGTGTTGATGGGTGGGTGATGTAGGGTGGTGGTGGTTACATGTGGTAATTTTGGTGGTGGTGGGTGGTGATGGTAGGTGGTGGGTAGTGATGGTGGTGATGTTGGTGGGTGGTGGCGGGGGTGGGTGTGTGGTTGTAGTAGTGGGTGGTGGTGGTCGGTGGTGGTGGTTGGTGGTAATGATGAGTGGTGGTGGGACTGGTGGTGATGAGTGGGTGGTGGAGGCAGGTGATGGTGAACGATGGTGATGGTGGTGGGGGTGGTG